CCTTTGTACCGAATGCATACATATATGTATGCGTTTGAATGTGCGTGTGTGTGTTTTTGGGGGGCACGTTGACTGCGCGAAACGAGTTGGAAAATCAAGATATATACAAACATATATGTACTTTACTGACTGCGCTTGGAGCAGCGCTGCGGCAGAGGCAGCGGCTTACTTTGTATACACAATGCAAATACACACACCGTTGCACATAGCAAATAGGCGCGGGGGGGAGTGGGAGGCTCGACTCAGAAACATATGATGAGCGAAACAGCTGCAAACTCAGAAGCAGCGGAAAAAGCAGCGGAGAGCAGTCAAATTACTGCAAGTTGGGGGCGCCCGGAGAGCAAAAAGCAAGAGAGAGAGCACTGCAACTGCCGGCGAAATGGGGGAGCAAGAGCGAGAGCGGAGAACCTGCAGCGCTTTGTCAGCTGTGCTGGAAATTGAGTGGGAGTGGCAAAAAACCAGTAAAATCAGCTTTACATTATTTAAAACTCTTAATTAATGTTATATAGACTTTAATATAAGCACATAAGACTATTAAGTGTAGTTTTTGGCGAGCAAAGCTCAATAAGAGAGCCTGTTTCAGTTACTTTCGTGCTGACCAGCTGTGAGAGAGTGTTGAGTGAAAGAGAGAGTTCGGGGGTGGGTGGAAAACAGTTGCTGGGTGAGTGAGTAACTTCAGATAACTCAAAGTAATTTAAGAGAGCACCGACAGTGAGTGAGTTGATTTTAGGAAATTAAGAGCATCGCTTACATGTAAATCGCTCTTGAGTGATTTACAAAAGACATAAAGAGAGCGCGAAAGGTTCTTATTTTCTGCTCCAAAGTGAATTAAAAGAAAAAGGGAAGAGATTTCTATGAAAAAATTATTACAAAATACAGATTATTTAAATCAGCACGGAAAAGTTACCGAAAGAATCTTCCTTGGCACATAAATAAATAATAAATAGGCGACTCAACTAATTTGCATTTGCATAGTTACTATTCGAGGCGAAAAAAAGAGAAAACTTTTGGCCAGTTTTCCGAGTTTTTCGTCCGAGTTCGTTTGCATAAATCAATTATGCATCTGTGGGACACTTTTGTCCGCAGACATCTCAATTCAATTGAAATCTAATTTGTGCTCTAATTTTAGGCATTTTTCCCAGAAGACAAAGTGCCAAATTATTTTCCCTTGCCCCGCGGAAAATCGCCTCGTGCGCTCTCGCTCGCACTTGCCCGTTCATTTGGTCACGTCGCCAGTGCAAAGGAAACTGTGGCCGTTAGATGGCGCCACGCAAGCCAGTTTTGTATCTTGTTTTCGTTTCTTGTTGAGCAGAAAAAGATATTTTCACTAGAAATGATTTTTCCTTATCTGCTTTAAAACCTGAGAAGTTCATACATTTTGTGTGCTAACAGTATGCATTATTTTTATTTAAAAACTTGTTTTTATTTTTATGATTTTAATAAGTCTTTGAATTCAAGTTTTTAACCAAATGTGTTCAATATTGAATTTTTGGACAGTGCATATCCGTCCACGTCAGCGATAATTATCTGCGAAAAAGCGAATGATTTTCGCTTTTCAATTGCAAATCGCCGTTATCGGCGTGGATCGATCAAACACCTTTATCAAATTAGCTTATCGCCATTTGTTTTCCATTCGCATTTAACTGCCATAAATTACTTGCCAAATTCCTTGGCATTAACTTTGGCTGGCACCCCGGAAATGTATCTGTATCTGAGTCTGCATCTGTATCTGTTGTATCTGAAGACTTCCCCGGCACAATGAACTTCCCGAATTTGTGCTCGTCATAACTTATTTGTTGGTGCGTGTAGCTATTTTTTAGAGCATTCTGCGAAAGTCGATCTCCCTGCGTTAGATAAATGGATAATTTGCTCGGCACTTCAGGTTTTCTTCTTGTATTTTTCACCTGCTCGTTTTCGGGGAAACATTTTGGCATACAAACCCCCTACACCCACCCACACACCCCCTTCAAAAGCGAAACGAAAAGAAAACTCAACTTGTTCTTGATAATTTTGTTGGGTTCTGCACACGTTCGCCGATTTTCCCCGCACTCTCTTTTCTGATTTTTTAATGAAAATTTATGCATATGTGTGTGCGAGAGTGTGCCGGTGTGAAAATGTGTTGTGTTTAGTAAAACTAATTTAAATTTACAAATTGCCTTCGAGGGGGCCACAAGAGCGAAAGCCAACGCCAAAGCCAAAGCGTAAACTTTGTGAAAATTGCTTTCCCGGAAAAGCGGAGAACACCGAGGGAAAGTTCTCTATATATGCGCCGGCTGTCATGTATCGCCAAGTCACAAAGGAAACACTCGGGAAAGTGGATTTCAATCTCAAAGTTGATTGATTTACCTGGCGAAATTTTCAAATTTAAATTTTGCACATTAAAGTCAGTTTATTGTTTACGGAAAGTGGCAATTGAGTAATCGAAATAAGGTGAACAAGTCAATTTGAACTGCGATCCAGATAATGTATTATACGAACTTGATTTTCAGAGTATTTCTGGTTGAAAAGAAATATTAAAAAAATGTATTAAAATTTATAAAGCGAAATTAATCAAATAAAGAATATTTCTTAATTACTTTTTGCATTTACGTCATTTTTTAAGACATGACCCATATCATGAATATATTAATTTCGAAATGCAGTCACATGTTTTGTGTATACTTTGAATTTTCGTGGCCGAGTTCAAATCCCTTTAAGCGAAAAGTATAAATAGCCAAAACCGCAGAGTGTCATCAGCTTTCTATTATCAAATATAGGCAGGCACACATGCCCTATAAGCCAATTTATACCCGTATATCTGTGCCGGCAATAAATTTCGCTGATCATTAACCCCTGGCAGTCGTCTGCTGTTGCCTGTTGGCCAACCTGAATCACAGTTCTTTGTTGTTTATTTGAGTTGAGAGGCCCGTTTTTGCTATTTCGATGCCTGTTTCTAATCAAGCCGGGCCACGCCCCATTTGAGTTTTTCGGGGGGGCAGCTGGGGTCGCATTTCAAAGATTGCGAAATTTCAAAGAGTGCTCAGGTTTATCAATGAAATCAGTTTGGCACAATGTGCCAAAGTCAGGGGCCACAACACTGGCGAATGAAGTCAAACAAAAGAAGTTCTCGTCTCAATTCATTTATTATCTGACAAAACACATCTACATAAAGCTAATGTGGCACGAATGATATCCCAAAGATACTGGCGCACACTTACAGCTAGCCGAGATACGAGAAACACATGCGTGCCTCATGGAATTTCATTTCAATCTGAAAGAAATTTGATTTTATTTATTTGAGCCAGCATCAACGGCAAGACAAGTTGGATTTCGGGTGGCATTCATGAGATACATTTCAATCTTTCGTTTTCAATCTACGTGCAGCATTTTCAGCTTTGGTCAGCAAACAACAATGGCCAGCAAAAACGACAGAAAAAAAAATGAAATGAATCAGTAAAGATGAAGATGGCAGGAAAATGCATTCAATTGAAAGGAAAGGACACACAGCCTGGGATCATGATATGAATATGAAATTATCCCACATCCCCATCGCCACACAATTTTCATTTGCTGATGAAATTCTCCGATTTGGGTCCATGAATTCATAAGAACAGGTCCTCCGCACAATCGAGTGTGCGGGCATAATATCAAAAAGCGAGCATAAAATTGAAATTATGATGAAATTCGTCACTGAATTGGAAGAAAATATTTATAGATTTAACACATTACTTGCGGGGAAAATCCAGGAAAATGATTTTATGACCGCAAATTTGCATAAATTTGATGACAAAACTGCGAATTGAATTTATAATGTCGTTATGAAATACATGTTTTATGAGGTTTTAAAATACATATATGCAATTACAGAATTTTATGAAATGTTTCTCAATGAAATGTGGTATAAAATTAACTCACTGCAGTGCAAAAAGATATGATAAGAATATTTTGTAAAGTGAATAAGGAAATATAGACAAATATTCGAGATATTAACAAAAATAGAATTTAATGCTGTAAAACGATTTTATGAAGTACAATTAAAATGGGCTCAGTACGTTGGCATGCTTTTCAAATAAAAATTTAGTGTTTAGGAAAGTAAATTTAAGACAGATAAGAAAATATCAAAGTACGATTTTTATTGATTACATTTTTTAAGAGTCATTCAAATTGTATTTGTCATGTTCATAGAATTATAAATAAAAGATAGGTACATATGAATTTTTGACTATCAGCCGAGTTTATTTGTTAAAATAAATTTAAATGTAAACTGCAAAAGAAACGGGCACAATATTCTTTAAATTTTTCGAACAACCAATTTTCATTAAACATTTTCACGTAAACTTTGATTTTTTTATAGCCATTTCCCCCGACTTGACGGGATTTTTCGTCGAGATTAACTTTTCATTTGCCGAAAAAGAGAGCGTTGTAAAATTTGCATTCGCTTGTTTCCGTGGAAAGGCGAGGAAATTCTGAAGATACCTTCGTATCTTGTGTTTTGTATCTGGTAAATGGTGCATCGTATCTCGTATCTTTTTGCGATTTTTTGCCTGGCAACAGCCGTTTGCTGCACCATGTTGCAACTTGCAAGTAAGTTTTCGTTTTCGGTTTCGGAGTGGAAAATTTCAGCCAGCCCCTCTGCCGGCGTCGCTGTTGCCGTCGCCGCCGGCAGCGCAGTAATGCCGGGGTGGGTTTTTGTTGTTGTTCGCCTTACATTTTTTATTTGCTTCCTTGCGGGAGAACATTTCCATCATCATCCTTTTGCAGGGGTTTTCTTTTCCTCTTTGCGACTCGTCACGTACGCCGTTTGCCGTTCGCGCTCTCTCGCTCACTCTCTCTCCTTCGCCGGCCGGGTTGTAGGTGCGCATGAGCGAGACGGAAGCGGCCGCTGAGCGAAACAGCTGTTAAGCGCTCTCTGCCGATTGAGGGAGTGAAAGAGAGTATTGCGCTCTCGCAGCGACGTCGACGGCGACTGCGGCCCGGCCAGCACCTATATAAAGGCGTGCGCTGCCAGGGAAACTCATAGTAGCTTCGAAAAAACAAAAATTCAAAACTGACAGACTAGAGGGCCGAGTTCACAGCCAGAAAATCAAATGAAGCAGCAGCAGAAACGTGCATAGCCAGACTTTTTCCACTGCTAAATTAAACAACCAAAATTCACTGTTTCACGAAGAATTCTATGCTACTGACGTTATATTACTACTAAATAAAAAATTGCCATCAAACAAATGCAACGGACCAACGCCATTTAAGTGATACAACAAAACAAATAAAAGTTTAAACAACATAAGTGCTGTGATTTCCACTACAAAACAACAACAACAACAACCAACCAACAACAAATGTTAATTTAAACTGCAACAACAAGAAGAAGCAATCAGCAAGAAAACAAACAGCAAATTGTGATAAATTAAATAATCTTAATTAATTAATTGTACAAGTGATAAAAAGTAGGCGACACAAAAAGCCGTCGGAAAATTGCAAGCGAACGAACGAACGACTTTCGATTCGATTCGACTTTCCACCAAACCACACAGAAAACCAATGAAAATGGATGTTATCCCCGTGCAAACATTGTATGACGGTGTTTTTGGATCCAACAAAAATAGAGGTAAGTTCAGAGAAATATAAAAGTGATTAAAGAAAGTTCGGGAAGGTTCCAGAAAATATTTAAAAGTTAATAAAAACCAAAAACTGATTTTTTTGAACTTCAAGTAAAGGTTGGAAGGGTTCAGATTAATTTCGAAAATTTATTGATCATTTTTTTTCAACGTTAAAAATACCTGAACTTATTTTAAAATCAACAACTGCTTGGCAATCCTCCTTGAAAATTTCATCAGCAATTAAGTTTTAAATTTACATTTACACAAAAAAATGCATAAAAAATCAATTTGCAATTACAAAAGAAAAATGTCATAAAAAAAAAGTCATGTTAAATTGTTCGTCACGTACGCAAAATGCAACAATAAAAAGCCAAGAGAGGAAAACGACAAAAAATAATTCCCAGCAGCAGTAAAAAATGATTTTTCGTTTTCTTTGGGCTCTTGCCCTCTGTCTTTTGGCTTTGCATTTGTTTTCGTTTCGTTGTCGCTCCTCCGCTTTCATCTCTCGTTCGCTGTTGCCAAGCGGCTGTTGCTCATTGCCTAGTTGTTTGTTTTTGCCAACGCTTTTCGCCTTTTTTTTTGTGATGTAGCAATAGAATTTAAAAGGTGTCTAAAGTGGGCTAACTAAACAAATTTCCCAAAGTTTTTTGATCTCAGAAACTAGAAGCTTTGCACTTGTTCAACTAAGATTTTTCGTTGCTTGAAACTTTTTTTTTGAAAAAATAATTGGCAGAAGTTTAAAACTTTGCTAACATTTCAAGTGAACAAACGATTTTGAAGGGAAACAATATTTTGACAAACTTGTTAAACTTTTTTAATGGGGAGCATAACTTTTTGAATTGTAAACATTTGACTAACCCAAGCCTTTCCCTCTTGCTCTCTATCATTTTTTTTAGATTGGACCAGCACACTGACACCGCCGGTTACCGTTGAGGCGGCCGTGGCCGTTATGCCCAAAAAGGCCAAGACAGCCGGTGGCAGCAGCAGCAGCAGCATCGGTGCAACCGCCACCAGTATTAAGCACAAGCAGCCGGCGGGCAGCGGCAGCAACGTTGGCCAAAGTCAGAGCAAGAAGACAAAGCCCAGTGGCAGCTACAATAGCAACAACTACTATGCCGCCGATGATGAGGAGGCCAACAGCAGTGGCTTCTATTCGTCCGATCTCGATATGAAGGCCGTGGAGGAGCTGTCGCTGCGACTGCTCGACGAACTGAGGGCGGCCAAGTCGCGGCATTTGACCTGCACGGAAGTGTCGCTACCCTGTGATCTCACGCCGAGCGTGGCCCGGGAAATTATCCGAGTGTCGGAGAAGGAGCCCCGCGGCATCCGCGGCTGCACCATCTACATTGAGTTCGAGGACGAGCCGAAGAACTCGCGTCGCATTGCCTCGATCAAAGTGGATCCGGATACGGTGTCCACATTCGAGGTGTATCTGACATTGAGGCAGGATCATCGCGGCTGGACGTCGCTGTTGCCGCAGTTCATGAAGAGTTTGGCCCGCACGATCACCATCAGTCCGGAGTACACGATCACCAAGAACAAGCTGTATTCCGCCGATGGCTTGGGTGCACGCCGGAGCTATAGCTTCGGCAGCCACGCCCACAGACCCAGTGCGGCCATAGCCACGCCCACAAATTAAGGTGATCTGCAAGATCGGCAAAAAAAAAAAAAAAGAAAAAAAGAAAACACCACCCCTGTGATGATCGAGAGCAGTAGTTTGTTGCAGTTGAAGAGCAACAACGAAGCAAGTATTCGAAGCCACCCCACCTACACCACACACACACACAAACAAACACACACCTAAAACACACACACACACAATACACACCACACAAGATTAGGGTACGCCAACCACACTCTCATACTAATACTATATAATGGGTCCCGTAAGACCCAAATTTTTGTAATTGTGACTCTCACCACCATTTTACTTAGATGCGTAGTGCTATAACAAATAACTAGAGTTTTAAGTTGTTTCTCCTTTTTCAAAAACGCAAAAGCAAGAAAAACAAAAAAGGCGAGAAGAGCGGATGAAAAGTAAAAAAAAGAAAAACCAACATGAAATTCAAAGACGGCAGCCCCACGATGCCCAGAATCATATTTCTGGGGCCATCGCATTTGGGGCTCGCCGGTCGACACTCATGAATATGTGATACTGTTTAAGATGCTAAGAGTCTTTTGCCGGATAGCCCAATTCCGGCAAAGGACGTTGATAAAATTACACATTACATACACACACACACACACACAAAACACATAAACACACACCCCAAAAACACAATAAAACAGAACAGATTTTTTTAAAAATTGTATGCTATATAGTAATAAACAAAACAAACAACAAACCAACAAAACAAACAAACTTGATCTTGGTAAATTTAAAATTTAACTTTAACTGAGAAGATGCCTCGAAATGTGAACGAGGTAGATGAACACACGCTCCAATTTTAGTTAGACGCAGCTTGCTGCAATAAAAATTTTTTAAATTATTAATTAATATTAATTAAAACCAACAAATTTTAGGATTTTAACAAATTTTTATATATTATTAAATGTATAGCGCGTACTACACAAAAGAAAGAAAAATAAAAAACATAAAAAACAAAACAATACAAAACAAAGAAAATCCACAACAAAAAAATAAAAATGAGAATAAATTAAATATAAAAAAATCAAGCGTAAAATTTAAGGCAATGAATATCTCAGTAAATGTGAAAGCGTAAAAAATTTGTAAAATTTTTTTGTCTGTGTAAAACTCCCAATGCGATATAAAAACAAAAACTTAAATGTAGCAGCGAAAACAAAATCAAGAAATCGTCAAATAAAATGTGAAAATTAAATTAAATGCAATGCGATATAATTTGTAAAAATTACAATTAACGTAAAGAGGAAAACTTAATGTTCTCACAAATACACAAACACATGAACACACCATCCACTCACACACATTAAAAAAGAAACACCAACATACAAAAACACACGAAAGTATCTATTACCAGCAAAAAGTATCTATCAAAGCGAAAAAACCTATTTATTACAAAAAGAGAGAGAAAGAAAGAAATAAACAAGCAAAATACGAAAAAAATACATGTATTAATTTTTTTATTATTACAAAAAGCAAAAACAAAAATATATTGTATTTAATGTTAAGTTTTTTTATTGCGTAAAACAACAAAATAATTGTGAGAAATTTGTAACCAAAACAAAACAAAAAAACAAAAGCAAAAACATTTTGTGAAAAAAAACCATACCACACATACAGAGCGAAAAACAAAGGCAAAAAAAAATTACAAAAATAAAGCATATAATTTTTCCTGCGCTAGCGGAAAATAATTGTGGAAAAAATTAAAACAAACAGCTTTCTTTTCTACCAACATTGTTGGATCCCAGGGGCGGGTAAAAGGGGGGGCAGGGGCAGGGGCGGTTCAGCTTGTTGCGGGTGCAACTTTCTTTCAGCAGCCACCGAACCACTGAAACGAGGCAACGTCGCTTCTGGCGCAACCCGTTACTGCCACGGCCATGGCAACTGCACTGCGAGAAACCGGACCTTAAATGTCACAACTGCACCACTCAAGACGAAATTCAGTTTAAATGCACACTGAAAAAAATCTGCTTTAAATGCAATCTGCTCTTTAGCAGGTCTACAAAATTTTACAAAGATTCGTAGAGAAGCTCAACCACCAATTAATAACATATCTGGAAAAATACAAAACTATGCTATAAAATAAATATACAAAAATAAAAACATATTTTTTTTATTGTATTTTCTGGAGGCTAGTATACTATACGTGCGGATTAGTTAAATTAAAAATTAAGTTCTTGTGATAAACATTTTTTATAACAATTCAAGATTGTAAAGATAGCAGTTCAAAAGCTTAACCAAAAAGCAAGATATTTTAATGACAATTTTAGGTATAATGTGGTACTTTAAACGCAAAAAAAGTAAAGGTAGATATATTCTAGTTTTTGTGACAGTTCGTAGCTTTTTTTTTTTTTGAGTGCACAGCTGCAGTAGTTACACAAACGGCAACAGCAACAATCGCTGCCCCGCGATCAGCAGGGGAAGACTATTGGGCAACCAGTTTGGGCTAGGCCCACAACTTGTTGTTGGGCCGCAATGGGTACTATGAACTTGGCTGAAAAGCGGCAACGTTGCTGTTGGCCAAACAGGCTGAGGTTACCAACAAAGAAACTACAGGAGTAGGAAGAAATCGCACAGATATAATTGGCTAATTGTCTGCCTTACAAAATGTTGTTAATCTATAATTATGTTGAGTGCTTACTTGTATGAATTCTCTTATTAAAATAAAAACTGTATTTAATATCGAATATATTGCTGGCAAATTAATTTAACATGATTTAATGAAATATTATAATTTCATAATACCTGTGCTCACAATTTCAGCCAAATTTAAATAATGACAATTAAATAAAATGTTTAGTTCAAATTTCTGCAGTCTCCCAAGAAAAAACATATACGAAAAACCAAAGGTATGTTTCTAATTGAAAGAAATTTCGTAATTTGCAGTCGTCAGGGAAAATGATTTCCCTTAATTCGTATGCGATCTGTAATTACGGCAAGACGTGTGCCATTTTTCGGCCAGAACAGCGAGTGTAGAAAGTCATTTAAAATGCTGTCATTCTTCTTGTTAAGGCGAACATCTAGCATCTAGCATCCACCTCAAGTCATTACCAAAACGAAAAGGAAAGCGGTCCAGGGGGCAAAACCGCAAAGGCATTCGACACTCTTTTGGACCCATTGCGATATATTCGGTCATTTCCGAGAATAGAAAGCCGAAAGGGTGCAAGTGTACGCGCGAACGAACAGTTGACAACCACATTTGAATATTCAGAACCCATATAGTACGTCCATTGTATAGTATATAGTAGTACGTGTTGGTCGAGATGTACACGATGTGCGGTTGACGGGTTTGATGGGGCGAATCTACAATCAGTTCCAATTAGATGCGAAAATAGAATACAATTGTCACGTCATAAAAGATTTAATTGAATCAATTTCACGTCACAATTCGTTCGCATATTTTTGGGGACATTTCGTTATATTTTTATGACATTTTCGCATACTTTTATTTTTATACGTATTTTGAACTTATTTTGTTCGCCCATTGTTTTTGTTTTTTCCCGCCGCGACTCAAGGCTCTTTTTACGATTCTGATGACGCGCCAGCCGCTGATAATTTCCTTGACTTTGTAATTTATTGGTGTTTTCAAAAATATTTTAGAGCGTGTGCTAGTGCTGATGATGCCTCCTGGATATTTGTGGTCGTCCCAAGATAGTTTTCGCATCTACAAAAAAAACACGTTTCGATTATGGCCTACACGCGTTTCCACGGAATTCTTTTCTTTGTTCGCCACATTTTCGCTGCGTGTTTTCCCATAGTTGAGTTACTTATTTTTTTTTTTAGGTGCCTAAGTTTCCGAATCCAGAGCGAACATCTGCACGGTATTCCCCATAAAAATTCCAAGCTTTGAGTCGGAGTCTGATCAATATTTGCATATTATTTAACTTTTTGTTTGCTCTCGGCTTTGTTTTAAATTTCTTCTTTTTTTTTCACCCCCACTGTTTTTCCAACGCGTTCCATTCTAAACTGAATAAATAGATTGGTGTGTCACTTTTGTCAACAATTCGCATGCATATTCTCGAATGCGGAATTTCTGTTATTGAAGCACACAAATGTATCTATATTTGTAGACATTAAGAGCACAACAGTGGCAGCAAATAAAAAAAAAAAAAAAAAAAAAGATCATAATAAAAAAGGCAAAAAAAGGTGGCAAATATTTGGTCAAGTCCTCTGGTTTTTGTTTTTGAACAAGCCCGCTCTTGGAACTACACATCCCCACAGTTGTTGGCCAATTAATATTATGTTTTGTTATATGGTTTGTTTTTTTTTTTTTTTTTTTTTTTGGGAATTTCTGGCCATGGAAAGTCTCCAGCTTTATTGGATCTTCGGCACGTGTTACCCCCTCTCCAAAAAAACTTTAAATCGGTTCGATTCAAGAGAGATTTGCGCAGCCAAAGTTTTTGGGACTTGTCCCATCAACCTTCGGTTGTATGTAGGTGGACTCGTTTTGGACGTGTTCATTATTATTTTTTCAGTGGCACGTGGCCCCAGCAAAATGTTCGATCGGGGCGAGGGGTGTTGGAAAATTGGAAAATTTTTTAGCTGTCACAAAATCAGAAAAGAAAAATCCAAAATTTTACGATTAATTTCTTTAAAATGTTGTTTTGGTCTTGGTCTTTGGTATGAATATTGAAAAATCTCTTCTAAGAACTGGGATACATGTGTACATTTTGAAAATACATTTAAATAATGAATACAACTAAGTATCTTAAGACTGTATAATTTGTTTCTTGGGTAAGGCTAATCTATTTGTATTTACCAAGTGTCAAAAGACACACGTGCCAATAATTATCACTATACTATTTTCATTAATCTAAAATGAATATTTCAAATTTGTACTTGTATTAACTGATAGTACCCCCAATCTCTATATGTATTATAAAATCCGAATAATAACTGAAAGTCTATACAAAAACTAACCTTTTTAGACATCATCCCAAATTGGCTGAACCATTTCCTGCATTTCGCAAAAACTGAACCTGAAGAAACCTACAAGTCCATGCCCACCTGACTTGACCCAATTTAGCCGGAAAAAAAGATGGGTGAAAACCCCTAATCCGAGACAATGCGACTGGCAATCTTCTCCCATTACTAAGCCCCGAATTACAGCCTGCTCCCATATTATAATGCCATCAATTCCATTGTAGTCGATTGTTAGCCACTGCTGCTGTTTTGTTTCCCCTGCCGACTCTCAAAGTGTCATTATTCCCACAGTGAAAACTTGACCCGTCCGTCCGCCCGCTGACAAGCCGAGCGGGAAGCAAAAAAAAAATTGGAAAGAAAAACTCTAGGGAAAATGTGTGTGTGCGCCAGAGGGCCAAAGTGCCAGAGGGCAAAATCCTCAATTGTCATGTTTCTCGACAATTTGTCTATGGGCAATCACAGCAACCGATTCATACTATTCATATGGCCATATACATACATCCCGAGCATCCATCTCTCTTCTTTGACAGTTTCTATGACCTTCGAATCTATTCAGTTTAGTTGTGTTCAGTATTCTTTCTTTTCGCCGTCGAGGGGTTCGTTTTCCCTCCGCCCAGTCGCCTTTGTTGTAAGCAGACCACAAATAGATCTTACAATATATTATTTCGATTGGACACGGTCGCTCCGCAGATCCATCCGTCCTTCTCCCTTTCTCCTCGCCCTTCTCTGTCGCTCCTCAGCCATTCCAAGCTGTAGAAAACGTGCCGAGGAAGGAACCTCTGGTCGGTGTCCAAGTTCAATGAGCACTACAAACACTGCCGAAATTATAGCAATCCTAATACAGCACTATTTTCAACTAATTATTATT